CATCAACGGGTGCACTCCTGCTTAGCGTTAGAAATAGGTAAAACGTTAGTTCCGCCTTAGACAGACGTATTAACACAAAATAACCAAATCACCGTAAATTTTTCTCTAAACAAGTAAGTTATAAGTAAAATTTTCGAAATACGAATCCGTTCGTCGCAATAAATATGATGTTTTTTTAGTTATCAATGTATAACTAACGTAATAGTCCCATGTTACAAATAAATTTAAGAGCATTATAAATTCTTGCATTTAACTAGCTATCTCAGTGAACCCTAGCGAACAGTTCCGTATTGTTCATTGGGATAATTTAAAATTGTCATCCTGTTTATTTAAAGCGGTTTCAGCTGTGAAACTTTGTAGAAAAGCGACAGATTTGAAGGAGAACGGCGGGGGCTGCGGCTCGCCCTAATCCGGACATATCTCAGTACATTGCTCAGTGCGACACAGCGGGACTTAGCGAAAAGCCGAGCCGCGCAGATGCTTATCTCAATAACAGTTTTATTTATTTTTGCGAGCGCCTGATCCACTCCCGGGTTTCCGGGTCTCAGCGGATGAAAATAGAGGAAGGCAGCGCTCAGCCCGCGAACTCGAAGAAGCTCGACGTTTGTGTCAAGTTGTGTCTTGAAAATGTCTTAGAATGATATTGAGACTAAAAATATAATAAAATTATCGTCTACAGATTTACTGGTAATGCCGTCACGATCACATAAGTTAAAAAACGCGATAAAATCCAAAAAAAAAAAAAAACTAGTGTTACTTATCGTATAGTGTTCATGTAAACATACGAATTTATAATCCAAATTACCTCATGATGTGAGAACCAAACGTCACGCAATTTTGACGCCGCTATGAGTCGCCGATCTGGATACTCGTATTTTACATCAGTCCAGTCATCTCTTACGACTCCAGAAGGAAGAAATGCGAAGATAAATGTTCTTACGCTGCCACCACTCTGCCATTCTCCTCCTTAACTTTCGTTATATTAAATAATATGCTTAAAAAAAGGTTTTATAAAGAAATAATAATTACCTCGTAAAATAATACCGAGAGAACTACGTAACGTAAAATATTTTGTGAATAATACATAAATATATAGGTTATAAAAAATGATCACCCATTTAAATTAAATTATATCCTATACCTTTAAACGAGCTATATTGGGCGGTCACAAAATCGTAATACCATTCGAGCCCAGACCGAACGACCGACTTTTTTTTAAATTTTTTTTCAAGTTCCTTTCTTTTTTGAGAAAATCTATTTTTTCGAGCCATTTTTTTAGTATTTTTTAAAAACACGAAAATATAAATTAAACTGATTGCACTCATGATTTTTTATTCAAATAACCGGTTCAGTTTTTCTATTATGTCGCTAAGATCAAAAAATATTATTCGTATTTTATCAGTATGTAATTTGTATCTAAATATAATTTCCAAAACACACGAATTAAAAAAAAACAAGCGAAAAATACCGAGCAAAGCTCGGTCAACCGGGTAGGTACTTTCAATAAACCACACAACATTCTTATAATTAGATAAATACGTTTTCTCTCTCCTAGCCCTGAAATTGCGTGCGTAACGGGGTCCATAATACTGGTCTCACATTATTTTATAACATGTATGAATACACTATGGTATAGCAATAAATGTTTGAGTTTCAGTATCTAAAGCACAATATTTTCTTAGTAGCGGAGACTGGAAACTACGAAAGTGCACTGCAGTGACATCTAATTAGGTCATTTGCCGTAATTGCCAGCTCTAGATTGGTTTTTTCGCGTCAACAACGTCCCACGAGGACTCCAGAGACATTTGGTCTAATGAACACGTCGAGCGCTAGAGGTTGAAATAAAAATTGTGCGGGTTGCCCTCGCAATGCTCTTAATTACTTTTTCTGTCTTTTACACTACTTACAATAGACGTAATTAACCAGTATAGTCGGAATAACAACGTAACCATTTCATTTAAGAAAAATGTAATTGATGTTTTATTGGGCCGCAAAAAGTCAGTAGCGAAAAATGTCTTTGATAATAGGATCAATGGGCCCTGTATTGCCGGAAAATATCACCGTAACCTTTCTGAATACAACTACTAAATCTGGTAGATCAGTATGACGTCACGTACTTTCTGATGGTAAGCGAGTATATGATTGCTTATTATAAGCATTATACCTACTTTTATTATAAGCATTATATGAATCATCACATAAGCGTCAAATATTTAAAAAAATACTACAATTTCCAAGTTCCAATAACAAGGCAAAAGATTAAAAACCTCCGAGGTAATAGATACTTACTCCTATGGGGAACAGCAACGTGGAAAACGCGATATATGTAACCGCCAATCTTTTCGTAATCGTCTTCATCATACTTATCAGCTCGTAGCAATCCATTGCCAGATATACATATCTTCTATTGTAGATAGGGTGTTGTCATTATCACCATGCTTGGCGAATTAGCAATCACACTTCACACAGGCTGCTTCCATCTATTGTCTACAGATGGCTATACCATATGTCACAGTTTATTTATTTACATTGTATTCTTATTCAGTGCCTGATTTAGAGTTCGTACTGCCCTTGGCTAACTATGATATATATATATATATATATATATATATATATATATATATATAGCCTTCCAATGATGTCACTAATCCGCTGGGGGTCTCAAGCTACCTTGTGAGCTGGTCGTTTATAATGGTGAACAAGGAGGCGATGGTGATAAGCCTGTAGTTGGACGGGTCTGAATTGTCGCCTTTTTGGGCATCGGGTGCACTAAGGCTGTCTTCCATAAGTTTATGATTACACCTTAAGAGTAGGAGTACCTGAAAAGACGCGTTAGAACCAGTGCTAACTTCGTAGTACCCGTCTTCAGCACAATGGGAGGGACTCCATCAGGCTCACTCGACTTGTCTACTTGTTGACGTCCAGGGTGAGTAGTATTTTGCACACTGGGCGCTGTGTAAACCGCACATCCAGCATGAAGTGAGAATCATACCGCGAGATAGTCGAGCGAAGTCAACGGAGGACGAAAGGTACGAAATAATTCAGTCTTATTTTTACAATCTATTTATTTGTTTTGTACCAAAAATAAAGAAAGAGCAACAAATAAAATATTTGCGGTACTTACTCTATTATTTATTGAGAATGTTATACCAAGTTTTATTCCGTCCATAAGTTGGGATAAGAAAAGCTCGGCGCCTTCTCTAACCTTGCACCCTAAGCCCCAGCCTGTGGGTAAATCAGGCCCTGTTCTTATTAAATACCTTTTTTATGGTAAAATTATACCACTTGTTATAATTACTGAAATAACCCAGCTATGTACAACCAGTGCTATTTTGTAATACTACTGGTAATCGTACCGTAACTGCGTTATGCATTTTCATTAACATAATATTTTCATACTTAAAATAAGGTATAAAGGCCAATCATAAAATAATCCAATACAAGGAAACGAAAAGTGGAACGTCAAAACAAATCCAACAACGATTCCCACCAGAGTTACCCAATCGTACTGTAGGTTTGATTGTTAGAAAATTTAAAAAGTCATTAAAATCGCCCAATATGGCACTTGTCCGACCGCCAACGATAAACCAGAAGCGAGTAGAACTAGAAACTACATAAGAGTTGATGAGCAGCGAGAAGAGAGGGTTTAGTTCCGATAGTTTTGTTGCTGCGCTATAAGCGAGTGCTCTCAGATTATGGTTGTCTCAGGGTATGGCTGGTTGTGGTTACTCGGCATGAGCTCTGACCGTCAAGCGAGCATCGCTGAGCAAATTTTATCTTTGATAGCTCTTATCGTTGCGACTATCGGAGAGAGATTTTTCCCGGCAGTGTGAACAGACAGCTATTAACTATATGTGCTTGGCCAGACTGCAAACGCGGACGCGGGGCGTCCGCGGCGCGACGTACTCAAACATAAGGTCTTCCTTTGAGTGTCCATAGTAGCCACGCGGGCGTGGGGCGGACGCGGTGGCGGGCGCGGGCTAGTTGGCGCGGGGAGCGCGCGGGCAACTTACGCCATACTTCGTTAATACAATTGGCCGCAGTGAGTGCGCGCTGCGCGGGCGGCAAGCGGTTAACCACGCGCGGAGCGGGCATCCCGAACCACAACGAGCTAACCGCGCACGTTGTAATAGCGTCTTCCGAAATAAATAAGAATTTATTTTATAAGACAATTTACTATATTTTCTAATATATAGTCAAACGCATCCATTGATATTCTCCGATATCCAAAAAAAATTAAGTTTGCGCACGCAATTTTACATAAAGTGTGTGAAATTCTCCATCATTTTCTCTAGGTCAATTGATTTCATTGATTCCATTTTTCACTTGTAGAATTTGCCATTTAAAGTAAGAACTTTCCAGTTAAAATAAGACTTTTCAACTATATTATAGTTTGACAAACACTGATCACGGCAACACTCGGAACGAAGCCGCACTCGACTGCGGACAGTGACGTCGCGCCCGTACCGCATTCGCGCCGTGCCCCGCAATGTATGGCCAAGCGCTAAATAAATAAATAAATATGTATATCGATTAACAGAAAATTTGTGTCTATTCTCCTCGCTCGCACTATTTTTAAAATTGACGGCTTGATAGCGCTAAAACCAAATATTTCGCTGCAGCGTTGATAGCGAAATGAGCTCGTAACAAGAGTGTTTGTATCGCCTACAAATGATTGGTCTGGATTTAAATGCTTAATCGCAATTTATAATTGTATTAAGCAATTTCTCGTGTGAAGTTATAACGCTTTGAATAATAAAAAAAAACAATCCGTGCATCGCTAATAGTAGGTATTGAAAAACTGAAAATATTAAAACTTTGTATTTCACATAAGTATCGGAAAACAATAAACAAATTTAAAGCGAAAATACGCTACTTATTTGCGAAGCTATTAATTACACAGTGTTTTAAGTGGATGTTCATGTCAATCATTCAATTATATTAATTTATTATATGAAATATAAAATACATTTACGACGTATTTCGTTTTCTTTTAAAATCTACATACTGCCAGACTCAGGTCCTGTAGTTGGTGGATGCTGAAGTCTAGTTTTATCGTGCTTTCGAAGTTCATCATGGAGTAACACCAAATTCTCATAATGGTCTGCAGAGGCATCCAACAACTCGACACATGCCTTCATAGTTGCCTCCTGTCGCTCGTTCTCCTTTCCCACAGTCGTGAGCGTCGCATGTCTTACTGCTAGCACCTCCTCAACCATGTCGTCTAATCTAAAAGATGAAAAAATATTAGTATAAAATAACAAAAGACATTTTTAGGAGAAAGTTAAAAGTACAAGTAACTATATTTTGTAACACACATGGGGCGGGGGAAAGTTTCTTAAGTGGCAGCCAGAGGCAAACAGATTATTCAGCGGGTCCCACTAGACGGAACGACTTCCTGCATATTACCAGGTCATCACCTCATCTAGTGGGGTCCATATCATTTCGCCTATCAGTACGACCACCACCACTCAAAATCTTTCTTCCTGATTTGTCGTCAGGCAATGTATGGCCAGGCCATTGGTACTTTAACTTACTGTTTCTAAAACTAATTCATCATTCAAATATTAAGAAAAAAAATATCAAAATAAATGTTATCACTTTCCGGAAATTCTGTTATGTTTACAATATTAGCTTTTGAAAAATATCTGTTTAAAACAGTCTTCAGTTATTAAGTATTGTGGAAATCGTGTGAAGGTAGGTACCCATTGTTTCTCAACAGATGTGTAAAATTTAATTCAGTGAAATGTCATCCAAAATCTGTCTGCCGAGAACGATGCATATACGACGAATAGTTGAAGATGACTATAAAGGTTAAACATAAAGACCGCCGTCACGGCGTACTACGCCTATGCTAACGCATGGTTTAGCTACAGCCTATGTTGTGGGGCAATAGTGCGCGTACGCACTCTATCATCTCCATCATAGATGTAACTTTATTCTTTAAATAAAAAAAATACGACGGTTTTTGATCATTGTTTTCTGGTGACAACTTTTAACTACTATCCGAAGTTACTTAAGAGTAATGACGAAATAACATGCTGCGTATTTGTTTTACAACAAGGATAACAAACTAGCACACAGTGCACTTGATAGTAACTGGATTTTGTAGCCCATTGACACCCACATTGATACTCTATTAAGAAACAAAATGTATTTGCGTTTCTCTGACGACTAAAATAGAATGCCTCTGTATCAGTAAAAGAAGACTCCGATTCTGCACACTTAGGGCTCTTGTACACGCTAAGAAAAGTCGCCGGGTCTATGCAAGAATTTGTGTCGTTTCTACACACAAACTGTGTGCAATGCTCCGGCGCTGACAAAGAAAAAAATCTTGTCTGCGCTAGACAAGACGAGCTCCGTGTTGTTGCGGTCAAGAGAGGGGTGGAGTAGGTGAGTTGCTTCAGATAATTTGAGTACTTTTGTACATTGGTGGACGTGTTTACGTACTTTTTCATTTTTTATATATAATATGCAATAATAATTTTTAGCTACGTAGTTAACATGATTCAATTACAAACATATCGTTTACACATCTCTATTTATTTTGTCTGAAGCAGACACGACACATTTTCGTGGCTAGATCCGACTAAATTCTTGTCGTATACATGATGAATTGGTCTTATCTGCCGTAGACACGGTGAAATTTCTTAGCGTGTACAAGAGCCCTTACTATACGAAACACAGCAGCATTATGCTAATTGCCCCGTTCTAGCCAAACCATTCGTGCTGCCACCTTAATATAGCTACAGCATGGCTCTACCACGTTATAAAAGTAAGTACAAGTAACCAAGTTATAGAGTACACAATTTGCCATTGGCCATTGACAACTACATCTCTCCTCGATTAAAAATCTAAATGCATTTTCATTGAGACTTGCAATGGAACATTTCATTCAAACTTGTCACTGATCATAAATAGCATTATACTGCTGATTCACGTTTTTATTCTATGCGGACGTGGTTCTTCATCGGTCGAGGCGATCCATTCATTCTACAGTTCTAATATGCTTCAGCTTAGCTCTACCTCGCAAAAGCTCTTTAATAAAGAGCAAATTAATTAGAGCCTATAAAAAGCCCAAAGATTTCCACAAAGGGGGGATTTTGCCATACTTGGCATACTTGTCAAGCGGTTTGATAACCATCGATATAAATGACAAGATATGGTCGTGCGAACAAAAATTTTTCACGGTTAACCATAGAACAAATCAGCGCCATCTCTTAAATACTCGTGAACTACCACGGAACCAGTGTTTCCACTTATGATTTTGGTTTTACCCTAGAACCTGTAGAAAACTCTCTAAATTATCGTAAAAAAATTAAATAGTGTTATTTATGGCACCTTATTTTGAATATTTTAAAGAACAACATCGTTGCAAGTTTTCAATATCATTTCACGATTAAAACTCTTGAGTTTTGTGATGAAAAAAATGTTCTCATTTTAAAATTGTAATGACACTTAGTCTCATATGTATAACGAATATGATATAATGTAACAAGTTAAATAAAGTAAAAAAGTTAAAGTAAGGAGTAACTTAAATATTATACCATTATTCCGACATACAAAATGAAAAACTTTTTCATTCTACACTTTTCTAGCTCCTTTGACCCTATCCACTTCGATAAATCTTTAAACGAACGACTCCGTGGCGCAGTGGCTTAGCAATGAGTGGCGGCGCTGGGGGTCGCGGGTTCGTATCCCGCACGTTACAAGTATTTGTACGGCCTACAAATAGTTGTTCCGGGTCTAGATGTTTGTTCTTGTGCAATTTATGTTTGTAAACTGCTCCCACGATACAGGAGAAAATCCTAGTGTAGGGGTAACGTTTAAAAAAAATAGAAATAGAAATAGAAAAAAATAACATTGTGCGGGTACAGAAAACAGGGTACTTGAGTTCGATTTCACCCCAAATTATCTAAAACCCTGTCAACATGAAGAAACGCTTAAAGCGTTTACACTAAAATAGTGCAAAATATCTAAAAGTGGAAACACTGCACGGACGCACGCCACGCATATGAGTTTGCGTTGGTGCTCCATAAATATTTTCGCACCAATGAATCGGTGCCATTTTGTTTTTTCAATGTCCCGGTCCGTACGCAGTAGTATAGTAAAGTCTATATTGATAACCGTCGTTTTTTATTATTTTCAGCTATTATCAAAAAGATGATGCTGCCTGTCTCCTATTTCAGTTTCCCTTTGTCACTTTGCGACACTTACGGGATCATATGGAGTAATTTATATTGTAATGTTGCCACCATACAAGACTATGGAGCAAATATTAAATTATGAAAAGTGAAATAATATTATCTAGACACTTTATTAAAAAAATATTTAAAAAACTTACATTCGCTTTCGAATTTCCAAGTAAAAACAGAATAATAAAGCCGCTAATGCAATGATGGCTACATTAATCTGCATCCATGACAAGTGCTGGCTCAATATATGAAATCTGTGTACTCGAATCTTCGGCATTACGTCCCATATTGAGAAATTAGGTATTAGAAGTGCTAGCGGCAGTCCAAATACTACTACGGCGCTCAGGACTACTGAAAGATCACATTCAGAATTGGTATTGGGCATGATTAAAAAAAATTATGTTACATTGTAAAAATATTAGTTCCTTCTGTCATCTGACTTCACTTTACGTCTTATAGATTACTGACTATATACTGTTACGTCAGTTGCGATGTAGATTACGTAGTGATCGATGATCATAGATAATAGATATATCAAATAAGACGTAGACAGAGAAACCTATAGACAAATTGACGCCTTCTTTCGCATTCGCACACGAAAAAGATAGATTTATGCATACGTCTTGCATAGAAATGAGATAGAGCGGTGTGATTGTTTGTCCCTTTCTCCGTGTCGGTTTTTTTGTTTAGCAAACTCTACAGTTTGCTAAACAACTTTAACAGCGTAGCGATTTAAGGAGTTTACAAGTTGGTTTAAGTGAGAAAAAAGTGTTTTGTGAGCTTAAGATTGGTGAATCTTGTTCAGTTCAGTTCTTAAACAATTAAAATTTTTATCTAAATGTGTTCAAAAAATCATAAAGATTATTGTATAACCTAAAAATTCGTTAACGTCCTTTCTCACTCGAGGCCACACCGATCATTAGTCTATAGGTTTCTCTGTCTACGAAATAAGATGTGTCTAAAAATAAAGACGATTTTGTCCACTTTTTGTATTTTTTAAACTCTAAATACAGTTTTAATCTACGGCTGTTTCTCTATGGATTGGTAACATAACTTAGTTTCAAGCTCATCTCAGTACCCTACAAAATGAAATTGAAAATCGCTTTTAAAACAGTTACAGTAGACTATCTGTGATGACTTGGTTGGGAGTTATCTCGTTTTCTGTTGAGAAAAGGGAAAAAAATTTAAGAAAACATAGTGGTCTAGCCTCTAAATAAGACTAAGGAAAAGAAAACGCGATCCTAAACAGTGAAAAAGCGTAGTAGAAAAGTTACTTTGATTTTGATACATGGGCACCGTCAACATCTTATTTTATTCAGTGAATAAATTTTAATGAAATTGAAAATACGAAAGTCCAAATAATTTGATTATTAGCTAACTTTTAATAAAAATGAAATTAAACAGATTTTTGTAAACCTAATATATCTACGAGTAACTTTTTGTTCTTAGGTCATTATGGTAAGCGATATCAATATGCGTAAATAAAATAATAAAATAATGCAGTTTAAAAGATGTTAGTGGGGACGCCCTGGAGGTGTACGCAATAGAACCTGTCTGGTATTGTACAAAGTTATTCCTAAAAAAGATAAATAAAAACATTCTAATACTAAAAATTAAGGACTACCTTTTTCAATATTATTTAGTTATTATTATAGTTATTATATTATTTATTCAAATTTGTATTTCGTACTAATAATATGTAGTATTCAAAATCACCTCCCTCTTGACAACATAGAAGCAGATACGCTTTGTCCTGGCAGGCTAGAAGCAAAGAAGCCTCTGTCCCAAGTTTAAATTTAAAAAAAAGATACGTAAGTGAATGATAAATATGATTTTTTCTTAATTTATTAATCCACATAGAATACTATAATATACAATAGAATGGCTGTCAACCTTATTTTGTACGACGATAGGCGTCGCCGGGAGCACACATACAAGCAATAACGTCGTATTATCAGTTAATCACTACTACAAACCCGATTCGCTGTGTTGACAGATGGATTTTAATACATATTTATTTGTAAATAGAGTACAATTTGGCATTTTCTAAATAAATTGCATGGGAAATTTGTAAACGATTGTAACGTCAGAACACATCTTGTGTTGACATTTATACGTGTGAATTGACGTGTTAGTGACATTTTAGTGGCTACACGGGCTCCGCCCACTTCCCCGATCTATTATGTATGTATTGTAGTATTCTATGTATTAATCACACAACAATGTTCTTTCCTAATAAATATAAAAAGATTCTTCTAGGTCACTTACCTCATCTCAAAAACGAATACCGCTTTTATCTCAGTTTAAGACATTGCGTACACAGGCGCCTTTGCTTTCTCTCGGGTTTTTTTTTTCAAAGAGTAGCCAAATTTTAAACTTAAGTTCAAATATATAAACCACGATACACCGTTGTTGCAGTTTTAAATATACGAGTATATAAAAATACGAGTAAATAAGGCTTCTACTTTTGTTTGAAATTATTCAAAATTGAATGTGAATTATGGGCAACAACGTTTTGGCCTAGTGCAGTAAAATCAATTAAAATAATGCATTACCAAATATTTAGAATTTTAAAGATAAAAAGTATAAGTATAATAGATTTTTGATACACAATAGGATCCAGTCGAAGACAAAATACATACAATAAGCGAAAAACGAACGATTTTGCATCTTCTTAGGGTTCCGTAGTTACTGAACAAGGAACCCTTACAGTTTCGCCATGTCCGTCCGTCCGCGGTTTTACTCAGAGACCCTAGGATCTGTATGTCATATATATATATAACCTGTACATATTTGTTATTTGATAACAAATCTGTTATTTGGCAAGGTCAAAGATGTTTTATAAGTCTAAAACATCTTTGGGCAAAGTTATAAATATTAGTTACGCCTACAAAACCGTGATGTAAAATCTTAAATAACATTTTTGTTTTGGATACCTCCCATACAGATAAATTGAAGACGATTGTTTTTTACAAATAGGTATATAATTTCAAAAATACAGCATTCATCTTTTCGATACATGGGTTCGACACGCACTTGGCCAGTTTTTTTTAATTTGTACAATAAAGCCCATAGACAATTGACATCAATACGCGATTAGGAATCAAAATGTAGATGTGTTGTCACCCCTGAAGTCTTATATGGAGTATATTATTTCCAGTTAAAAGAGGTCACCGGTTCTCTACACTCACCATGCGAAAAATAGCAACAACATTACAACCATTGCTGCAGCATGGCTCTACCACGTATGAAATCTAATTTACATCCTCTAAATGTGTACGATTACAAAAGAAAGAATTTGTATAATAATTTACAAAATATTATGTTACCTTTGTATTTTTATACAAATTTGTAGTGACACACGTACTAACAATTTGACAGAGAGTGGCGATCGCAATCTATGGACGCCTGCAACCAACTTCAAGCAAAGAAGGGTACCTACATATTATGTGTTCTCACCTCATAGGACTAAGGTAGAATGCTTCACAGCCTGTTAAATTATAACTTTTTTTAAATTATACTGGCTGTCTATACCCTTCAAATAAGATCAGAACACAGCAGTGCAACTGCAGCCTCGGGACAGAATAAGGTAAGGGGGAGGGGGGGAGAAGAACTAGCAAGTAAAGTAGTCCCACCACCTTGTCAGTTTTAGTGGTTATAGTAAATATGGTTTGATATTAACTTTTTTTTGAAATAGCCAATTTCGTATATTATACTTTATAACAAACTAACAAATGTGTCGGATATAAAAAGGGAGGAGATTTTGAAATGGTTTTTAAATCTCGTAGCAAGAGTCGCGACACGGTAAATGGGTCGGGGCCGGTGTCCGCCACGTGTGACGTAAGCGACGCCACTCGCGCAGCATATCAATTTCGACTAGGTATACACAATAAAATTGGACGGTCTCCGGAGAGGGCTTAAACGATTCGCCGTTTTGTCTCGGGCCCAGCTGCGTAATGACCGGAGCGGGAAAAAATTGTCAGCAAGAAAACGCGAGGGTAGTTCGGGTTTATGTGCGCGCGGCAGATGGCGGCTCCGGTGGCGGCTCGCTTCTAACGGCCTCTGCTTACCTCGCAAAAGCCGTGCCAATTTTATTTATCGAAAATATAAACCGATTTGCAGAGAGCCCTCGTAAAGTACGGACGGTCGATTTATGACCGGCACAAGACGCGTTTTAACTATGTTGCTCCTTGAATCTTGTCGTCTTACCCAGTTTTGTTGGTTTAGTACCTACAATTTAAAATGTCATTTTCTCTTTATATATAATCCCCTAATACTATTTGTATGTACCTAACTTGAAAACAACTTACATTATAACTTAACTTATAACTTGTTAGCACGCTTTAAGTACGTTATTACTCTAACCGTATAAGTAGCAATTGCTGATCTGCATGTTTTGTGAATTGCCAATCTATAAAATTGGCAATAATCACAAACTCAGATCATTATCTGAGATACAGTCAGATTACTTCCAATATTAGCGCGTAAATGTCCAGAATAAGTACCTCATTTTATCACATAGACTTACGACGCCAGAATATGTCTTACACAGTTCATAATTTTCACTGTCGAGATTATGCAGCTACTTCCGTGATTGTAATCAACAAGGAAAAACTATTTCATTGGGCTTAGGTTTTGAAAGTCTTACCGCATTCCTACGTAGATAAGTAGAATCAGAGCGAACGCAACGGAGTCATATTACATAGCTCGGGCTATTACATAGCTCGAAATTTTGGTCATGACAATAATTATAAATACATATGGACGAGTCACGGTAATGTCTACATACGCAAAGCAGAATCCAGCCCGGCCATACGAATCAACAGTGAGGTGGACCTTGACAAGCTCAAAACTAAAAACTGACTATGTAATGTTACAATACCGTTATCTTGGCTAATACTTATTACATTTTTACAACTTTATACATACTATATGTTGCAATGTTATTCATGTATTCCTCTTATTGATTTCTGTTAATTGCGTACTTTGCTTAAACACTTACACCATTACACAACAATATAAACTACTCGCACATAAATATGACTCGTTAAAATATTGTTTTAAATATTACATATTACTACACTACACTTTTCATATTCCTAAAATATTGCTCTATTAACTTTATATTAAATTATCAAAATAAATATCATTATTATGTTAAATTATACCTTAGGCAGCTTAAATGTTACGATTCTATAATAAAATTCACACATGAAATAAATGTATTAACGCATTTATCGACTAACAACATGAATGACTATTTATATTTTATGTTTATCATAACATTATTGCTACTTATAGTTGTTACGGACCTGTTTTTAATATGTTACAGTTTTACAATGAATTATACTACTCACTCTCTTGACAAGGTCAACAGGTTTTTCG